GCTGAAGTCGGATGCTTAACTGACTGAGCCACCCAGGTGCCCTTGGAGGTATTTTTTAAATGGAACCGTGTAGCCCTTTGCCTGTTCCTTGGTCTGATTGAAAATGGAGGGCTACATTCATTTACACTTCAAAGTTTCTCCACCTCTAAGATTTAGTTTCTTTCCCAAATCCTGGGGGCTTTCTGCAGATATGAGCTGTTAGGTAGAGAGTGAGTTTTAGGAGATTGTACTTGTGTTGGGAGTGCCTGAGACCACCTCCAGGTTTGGTGGTTCGCTAGGACTCACAGGACTCAGCCTGTAGTTGTACTTATGGCAAAGACTTGTTAAAGCAGAATCAGCAAAGGGGGAAGGGGCAATGGGGTGATGTCTGGAGGAAACCAGTTCCCAGACAGACACCAGCTTACAAGCTGGACTTTCGAAGGATGGCAACCTCAAGCCTGCTATGTTATCTCTTTTCTGAACAGAACTTCAGGGAGTCTGCTGTGTTCTGCAGTGCAGTTATAATAGTACTGACATAATGAATTGTTTGAAATGACAGAAGATCATGGGTCCTTTTAATGTGGTAAATAGTACACGTAGTGCTAAATACTCTTAGGTAACTTACTTTTAATATGAAACTGGTAGGATGACCTAATTTTGTTGTTACTCTTAAATTACTATGGCTAGAATAGAAGGGCTGATAGTCCACAAGTAGGTGGTTCTGATGGAGTTGTTCCCATCCTTAGGGTTAATGTCAGTTAACTGTAACAATCTGTCTCTATCTCATCATCCAAGAGATGAGCAAGGATAGAGCTATTAGCAGTTAGAATTGAAATAGAGAGTTATTTGTGCTGGTTCAGGGGTAAGAATCTTGGGAGTACAGAAGAATGTCCTAGGATTCCTACAGAAGAATCCTAGAAGAATGTCTAGGATTAAGAGGAAATCCAAACCGGGTCAAGGGGCTATGATAATTATTTCTTGTTCTTGGAACATGGCAAAGACAAGTGAATCTATTGAAAGGAGGTGGAGAGTCGAGATTGCAAACCACCAGCCCCTTATGCCTGCACAGTCTGCACCTGAGACTGCTTATCCTGCTCGCTCTTTATCAGTTATCCTTCTGATATAGTGTTGGTATGATGTGGTTGATTTCCCTGTTAACTTGCCCATTTCCATGAGGAAGCATGCTCAAAAGAGCATCACAACCACCAAATTTTGAAAAATGTATAAATATTACAAGGATACATTTTAGGCATTGCTTTTAAAACATACACATCACTGTTGAAATTGTAAAATATCTTGAGTTACCATATTTGCTGATGTGTTCACTGAGCATACTGAGCCTTTACAGAATATTAAACTATGTGCCAGAAACTATGGCAAACTTTACAAGAAATGTTTTTTTCAGGTAAATAGCTTGTTTCAGTTTAATACTTTTTTTTAAATGTACTTGTATGAGAAATACTATTAGAATTAACCTATGATGAAGCTTAGTAAACAAGTATAAAAATGACCATCTCTAATCCTTCGGTTTTATGAAAGTATTTTTTTAGGTCTTTAAGCATGCCTTTAAAACATTAAAACTCCCAGTATTCTGGAGGAAGTGTAAAAGATATTCTTCTCCCTAAATTTTTCTGATTATTGTTCTCAGGTGTTAGTTCGCATAGACTTTTCTTACATTTGTAATTTCTTTTAGAATGTGAAACGCTGACCTTCTTTTCTCTCTCCTTTAGTCATCACTTTCTAAATGCTAGAATATGATTAAATGATTGTTCTGTATTGCCTAAGATAGTTTCCATTAGTGAGTATGAAAGATTTATTTCTGAATTCTTTCTAGTCTCTTCAGATTGTAAGGGTTGTTTTTGTTTCCATTTATTGAATGTTAGACACTTTGCCAAATTCTTTATGTCTACATCATTGCATTTAACCATCACAAAACCTAATGAGGTAGGAATTATCGTTTTACACATGAGAAAACTAAGGTATAAAGAGATTAAGTAATGTATTATCCATGGTCATAGCTAATAAATAATGAAGTTCAGAAAAAAAAAAAAAAACAACCCAGATCTTATTGTCTCTAATTCATTTTGAAACCCTCTTTTTGAATCTTTTCATCTTAATTAGTGTTAACACAGAAAGTGTAGTGTTTTTGAAGAACAAATGTTCCAGAACTCCTGTTAATGTTTTAATAGCTTGTTAAATTTTAGTACCAACAGTAGATAAACAATACCTACTTCTCCTATTTCCTTTGGGCTAAATTGAAAGTCAGGAAGTAAAGGGATATGCCTGTGTTATTAGTGACTCCAGGGTCCATTTGTTAATCCAGCCAAGACCACTTCACCTGATGCTCTAGGCTACAATTTATCCAATTTATTCTGGGTTGATGGAAATGTTCCATAGTCTGCATTGTCCAGTACAGTACTCATTAGCCACATATGACTTTTGAACATGTAAGATGTGGTTAATGTTAGTGTGAAACTACTTTATTGTAATTAACTGAGATTTAAATAGCACATATAGCTATGGTTGCCATATTGAATAGTGCAGTCCTACATCAGAAGTTCTCAAAATTTAATCAGAATCATGTTAAATTGCTAGGCCTTAACTCTAGAATTTCGGATCCAGAAGATCTGTGTTAAAGCTTGAGAATTTGCATTAAAATTGTTTTAATGTTTTTATTTATTTTTGAGATATAGAGAGAGAGAACATGAGCAGGGGAAGGGGCAGAGAGAGAGGGAGACACAGAACCCAAAGCAGACTCCAGGCTCTGAGCTGTCAGCACAGAGCCCGACTTGGGGCTTGAACTTACAAACCACAAGATCATGACCTGAGCCAAAGTCAGACGCTTAACCAACTGAGCCACCCAGGTGCCCCCAGAATTTGCATTTTTAACAAGTTCCCAGGTGATGCTGATATTGTTGACATAAGGACTAAACTTTGAGGACTGTTGTTAGCTAAGTGGGATTTTTTTTTTTAAGATTTTACAAATACCAGCATGATTCCATTGAGGAAGAATAGAAATTCTCCATTGTTTACCTGGCTTACAGGCAGTGAAATAATTTTTTTTAAATACTTGTTCCACACTGCATAGTGCTCAGAAGAGCAAGCTTCAGTGCCTTAGCAATTATCATTCTTTTCATTGTGCAGCTGAAGACAAATCTTATTTTTCTTATCTTTTAAGTAAGTCAGACTTGAAACTTGGTTGGCTGTTTATTAATTGAAATATTAGAAAGGACAACTTATTTCTAAAATAAAGTCAGGTTGACCTGGTCTCCTGGATACAATAAAAATGTTTTCCATACTTTGTGTGTGTGTATGTGTGTGTGTGTATAACTTTTTTTTTTAATTTTTTAAAAGTTTTTTTATTTTGAGAGAGATAGAGTGCAAATGAGGGAGGGAAAGAGAGAGGGCGAGAGAGAGGATCCCAAGCAGGGTCCACACTACCAGTGCAGAGCCCACTGTGGGGCTCAAACCCACAAAGCCATGAGATCATGACCTGGGCTGAAACCAAGAGTCAGATGCTCAACTGACTGAGCCACCCAGGAGGCCCCAAAAATGTTTTCCATTCTGAGAATTGTTTGGGGAAGTCATTTTAGCCCTGAGAATGACTCATAGCTAAATTAAAATGTATTCCTGGGGTGCCTGGGTGGCTCAGTTGGTTGAGCGTCTGACTTCAGCTCAGGTCATGATCTCGCAGTTGACGAGTTCGAGCCCTGCGTCAGGCTCTGTTCTGACAGCTCAAAGCCTGGAGCCTGCTTCGGATTCTGTCTCCCCCTCTCTCTCTGCCTCTCCCCCACTCATGCTCTGTCTCTCTCTGTCTTAAAAATAAAGATAAACATTAAAAAAAAATTTTTTTAATGTATTCCTAGTACCCAAAGCCCATACAATCTTCTGCCTTTCAATATCAGCCTGGGGTAATATGGATAGATGGGTAGATATTTAGAGATCAGGGACCATATGTCCTGGTTTTCCTGGGACAGTCAATGTGCCAGTGGTCCTGGTATAATTATTAATAGCATTCCCTTGTATTAATCAGAAAGAACTATTTAGTTGGTCTAAGCAAATTTTATTTCACACTTCATAAAGTAGGCAGTCTCCACACTCAAGAGTAGAAAACTGCAAAATAAGGGAAAAGGACAGCAAGCAGGAAACAAGGAAGAAGTACTTGGCTTGAGTTGATTGCATATCTGACCATATTTGGAAAGAGCAAAGAAAAAGGAAACAAGTGTAGGTCTCAGTTGGCTTGGCAGTTGGAGATTAGCTTACTAGTTATACTGTGTTTCTGGTCAAGCAGAGGAACTCAAAAATTAACTTAAGTTTCAGTTTGCTGACATGGCACCCTGCACAGGAGTGGTTCCATCTTGGGACTAGATATTTATTTCAACACTTGTCTCAAAATGTCCTGATTTGAGGAGATAAATTATAGGGGTCACCATACTTAGAAAGGACAAGGAAGAAAGGGGGAAGAAAGTCCTGCACCCCATGTCAGAAGAGCCAAGATGTTAATTTACTTTCTGTGTAGCATCTTTAGCTTTGTTGGGATACTTTCTGAAGACACTTCTTTCTTTTTTCCGGTGCTGCTTTTAACCTTAATATGGTGCAGGTGCCTGGGTGGCTCAGTCAGTTAAGCATCCAACCTTGGCTCAGGTCATGATCTCATGGTTCATGAGTTTGAACCCCACGTTGAGCTCTGTGCTGACAGCTCAGAGGCTGGAGCCTGCTTCAGATTCTGTGTCTCCCTGTCTCTCTGCCCATCCCCTACTCTCTCTCTCTCTCTCTCTCTCTCTCTCTCTCAAATAAATAAACATTTAAAAAAATTAACAAAAAAGTAACCTTGATAGGGTGGCTATATCATTTTTTCTTCCTGCATAAAATATTTCATTCTTTTTCCATAAATGTAAGAAAATGACTTTGCATATCTAGGTTTCAGGAAGTCATTCTTGATTCTCCTCCCAAAGGTGGTCCTTATTCACCTTTTAATAATCACCTATATTCATCTGTTAATTTTTACGTGGTATGATTTATTCCAAAAATGTCTCCAGAAAGTCAATTTCTTGTTTTCAACCCTAGATCTCTGTTCCCGTTCCTCTAGCCTGGTGGTCACCCTCTGGCTTCTGCTGGGCAATCTATTTCCTCTGCTGGCTGGATTTCTTCTATGTGTATGGCACTAGGAAAAGTGAATTCTCAAGACATTCCTTTGTGTCATGTTCTTCTGAACAAAGCACAAAATCTGGGTGAGTGCCAACCTATGCAGATGGCAGAAGTGGCATTCCTGACTTTGGCTTGGAAGCGTTGACTACAATAAGACCTTAAAGCAGAGCTTCACAGCAGTCACTCTTCATCAGCAACCCAACAGCCTCAGAGTTTGGAGGAGGAGAAGGAATTCCAAGTCACCATGTCTCTATTTTTCAGCATATATAACCTGCCTGAAGTTTTCCTTTGAAAATGGGATAATTGGTGAAATTTTCAGAGTGATTACATACCTCAGCATTTTCATTAACCTAAAATGATGGGAAAGTTCAATACTGCAGTAACTTTTTTTAAAAAGCTAATTATTACAAAATTATAAATTGTGGATCCTGTCCTCACAAGTATAAATTGTCCTTTGAGTTATAGACAGTAATTGAATTGGGTTTCTACATCAATATTATACCTATATTGAGTTTAATAGCTGTGCTTGGTACACTTAAATCATTGTTCTCATAGTTCTCAAAAGTTTTTTTAAATTATAATTTGCTAAATCTTATGATTTAACCATGCTTGCCTTTTCAAACCAGCTGTGTGGCAGTTTACTACTGAACTATTACATGTTGGCAGCCCTTCCAGTGTATTCTCCAGTAATTTAATAATGACTTGAAAAACTGTGGGAGCAGAGAGAGAAAAATACTCTGCCCTGTAAAAACACTGAAGACATGCAAACAAACAGAAGAAAACATAATTGTATGTTTTTCAGAAAATAGTTATGACAGCTGTAATCCAACAAAAATAGAACTATTCCTTTCAGGTGGGCTTAGAAATTGTTAACAGAAGAATTCTTACTATCTGAAAAGTATTTTATATATAAGAAGAAAAGTGTAAGTCAAAACAGATGGTTTGAATTGTTTACTAATAGCAAAGTGTAGGTTTGGTATAGGGCCTATTCAGTAGGGCTCACTTTACCCACAACATAAAGCTCAGTCCGCAGAAGTCAGAAAATTGCCTGTGCTTTGAAATGAGGTGATGTTCTTTACCTCCTGCTTTATATTCTCATCCTCAGAAGTAATTCTGCTCTGGTACTGGAGCTTATCAACCCTTCTTAGTAATTCCAGTTTGAAATTTTTTAATGATGAGTAATGCACAGTTTGTCTCCAAAGCTACTGAAGTCCTGTGGCATTATAAACATAACTCCTGGACAAATTCATTCATTCATTCATTCACTCATTCATTCATCCATCCATCTATCCATCCATCCATTCATTCATTCACCCTTAATTTAGCATATAGTTATTGAGCACTGCATTTAAGAAATTGTGCTAAGTGAGCAAGCAGTATAATTACTAAAAAATGATTCCAACTGACCATTTGGTATTGGAGCCAAAGTGCAGCCCCAGCATAAAGAAAGTCAACTTTTGTTTTTCAGCGCATTAATTTTGAATATGTATTTGCATACAGTTTTAAATTGAAGGTATTTGTCATTGTAAAGTGCTGGGGGTCTCTAGCACAGCTGACTTCAGCTAAAAAGAAACTAATAGTAATGGTGTCCGGCCAGTGCTCAGTTTTCTGCCTTTGTCACACATACTTTAAAGGTCAGAAAAAAGCATAGAGTATATTTTTAAAGAAAATTATAAAACTCTAAACTTATATGTCTATTGTGATTATGAATCATCTGCAAAGGTGTATAAAGAATTTCACCAAAAATACGATGACGAATAGATTTGAGAATTCACAGTGGTAGGTTCGATTATATTTTGACTGTTGTGCAGTAATGCCATTTAGGTAGTATTCTTTCCAAGCATGGTGCTTTTTATACTTGAAATATATTTTTGCTTTATTTTTTATTGATATAATTCTATTTGCACTAATAACTTTCTGGAGAAAATATTATAGATGACATTTTTTCTATATATATTTATTAAGCTTGGAATCTGATCTCCTAGTGTTTTCTCTGCACAAATAAGGAACTTGCTAAAGTGTGAGGCTAAAAAATCTTGAGTTTCTGAGGGTAACTAACTGCTCTGGTGTCTTCCTTCCTCTTCAATAAGTCTCGAGAATAGTTGCTAATCACTGATTCTTCATAGTGTACTCCATGAAGATTTAGAAGGCCACTGAACCTGTAAGAAGTGTTAAGAGGCTCATTTGAGTCACTTAGAATATGTCAGTATTCTAAAAACAGACTTAGAATCTGAGATTTCAGTGCAGAATTAGTGGGCTAGACTTCTACTTTGAACTGAAGAATTTGAAATGGTTTAAATGTTAGTATCCTTTGGCAGGATGCCCTTTATGTTAACAGAAGCAGTTCACTGAGGAGGAGACTAGCAGACTGCAACTATTGTGGAAGCCAGCTGGGGCACGGAAGGAGAATGAAGAGTAGCTGATTTGGGGATAGTAGACTGGAGTCCTTTCTGACTCAAAACGTGTGGAGTGCATATAAAAACTGACTAGACTACCTCAGTTTTCAGTTCAGATTTAGGTTCATTTTGATAGTATTAAGATCCTAAATGTCAAAAATATCAAGTGAATTTGTCTCTCAGGTTTTTAAGAACAGAATTTACGGGAAGGCAGCAAAAGCCATGTCAGCAGACTTGAGCTGACAGCTTTAAAGAAACTGGCAAGCAGTTAGGGTTGTCTTAATATAGACCCCTCTAATATTCTCCTGAAGAGCATCCTTTTTCCTTACTTATTTCTTAAGAATATTTATGTTTGTTAAAACCAAATAGGCATTCTTCAAATGTTATGAAATATTATGCTTGAAATTAGTTTCAGCCTAGTATGTTGGCTTAAGAGTTTATCAGTATTTGAAGATGAGAAACAAATTAATGAAGTTTAAATGGCTTAGGAAGATACATAAGTATGTCTGAGTATTCCATAAAATTTTATCAATATTCTCCTCAATATTAGAAGACTTACTGATTGAGACCAACTGTAAGATGACTAGCTGCTTTCTCAGAATCTTTCTAGCTCTAATATTCTATGACTAACACTCATCCAGACTCGGTAGGTCACTGCTGGCTCTGATCTGCCTCCTGGAGTATGCCAGTTTGCACATCATGTTCATCACAGTGTCTTGTGCTCAAGGCCTTAGCGCTGTCCATGTCCTTGGACACCAAACGGAGAGAGAAGGGCCATCTCTGAGGGCACTTGAGCAGTCCTGGTGGAGGAGGTGGACTTCAGTCACAGCCCCACAAACCTAGTGCATAGTGAGCACTTAGTCATCCATGCCATGTCCTTGCAGCCCAGGAAGATGAATATAGTTTAATAAAGTCTCTGCTACTCATTCTGAAGAAAGAATTTACCTGAAAATATGACTCCTTTTTTTTTTTTTTTTTTTATGTTCAGTCAAGATTGGGGAAGAAGAGGTAAATTATTTTATGTTTACATTTTTGATAAATGAAATAGAAGATTTAAGAACTAATCTTTATTTGTGTTATTGAACTTTAAGTGTAATGTATTCCTTAGTAAAAAAAAAAAACTTTAATAAAAATGGAAACTAATCTGCATCTTGTCTTACCAAGTTTTTAAAACCTGGATGAAGAACACAAACAAGGCATGCACTCTATTTGGGGAAGATGAGATGTTTATTATGAAATAATTCACTTTCTACTTTAACTGGAGTAGAATTTTCCTACTTAAAGAATGGGGAAAGGTCTTATGTAAAGCTATAGGGAGGAGCGCTCCTCAGATAGTTATGAAGGAAAGAGAGCAGTCTAAAACAATTCAGGGCAGGCTCTTCTGGCTGCAGATTATTCTAGTCCCTTTTGTTTTATGCTGTGGGCCAGAAGTCTCATTGCATGACCACCCTGGCACATTCAAGTACCACACTCTGTGCAGTATCACTAAGTAGATTATAGCTGTAGTCATGGAGTGGGATTCTTCATAACTTGAATGTAGTTCAAGAGAGGATATCCCAGACATGCCTTCACCTTGTGCACTTGGAGCCATTCTGTTCTGGGGTGTGGAACCAAGCACTTTGTGAAATTGGTCAAACGTAGCTTTTGTGACTTAATTGCTGAGCTGTTTGTGGTGAATTTTAATAACAATATTTAGATTTTTAAAGTTATAAATATTGTATATACATAGCTAAAACTATATATGAGAAGGGGCACCTTGGTGGCTCAGTC